TTCAACAAAATAGGATAGCCGGAAAGAAGAATAGACGTCTCTTGGAAGTTGTTCAGTCCCTCATGTTCACAACTCCAGTTCCAACATTTTTATGGGGAGAACCTGTTCTAACTACAACTTAGCCTATTAATAGGATGTCTTCTCGGATCCTTGAGTTTTAAATAGCCTACCTAGTAATTCTCCAATATTTTCCTATCATTTGGCTTCTATCTACCCTACTTATCAGAGTCTTTGGTTGTTCAGTCTTTATTCACAAACACAATCATCACATAAACAAACTATACCTCAAATCAATAAAATGCATTTTTTTTTTATATTCATCAAACCAAAAGGGATATAAATGTTATTCACCAGCCACCCAGAAGTTCTATAACTCAATGCATGTCATTTTTCATGAAAATCAATCATATAACAAAATTGGTATTCAGGGGAAGAAAAATACACAAGAATCCCAATTTTGGGACTCTATAATTGAATATCTTCATCCTCCTCCAACTAAACTTATTCAGTCTCTAAAACATATAGATTGAGATGAGACACCTAGGCCTAAACCTACTCACCACACTAAAAAACCTAAACTTCAACTTTACACTAGAAGGAACAAGAACTAAAAAGAGAAAGAGCCACCACCACCTAATCAGAGTTATGAATCCAATTTGGATCCAGATCCAGTATCATTGAATATTTCAGATTATCCAAGTTCAAATCTCTCCCTTGATAATCAGTATGATGATAGACTAATTGTTTTAAGAAAACATAATAGAGTATGTACTGATCATCCAATTCACAATCTTATTTCATACAAAAGTCTATCTATGTTAAAGAGAAAGAAAATTATGGTATCAAAGAGCAAATAAATCAAGGTATTAAGAAGAAAAAATTATTATATTAAAAAGAAAGTAAATCAAGGTGCTAAGGATGAAAAAAATTATGATATTAAAAAGATAGAAAATCAAGATGTTAAAAAGAATAAATAAATCATAGTATTAGAAATAAAGCAAATCAAATTAAAGAATAAGATTAATCATTTGTAATTAATTATCTCTTTCTTTTTCCATCCTTAAAATCATGTATATATAGGATTATAATATTCAAAGGAATACTTATCAATCAAAAAATCATTCTTAACAGTATGACATGTATTGAGCCGCTGTCAAATTTTTCTTTGATAAAATGTCCATTAATCTCAATGTGTTTGGTTCGCTTGTATTGCACTGAATTGTGAACGATGCTTATACTCGATTATTCTCACAATATAGATGCATAAAATTTTTCCATTTGATTTTAAAATCTATCAGAATTCTTTTCATACATAGTAGTCACATACCCCTTTTGTTATTGTCTAAAACTTTGATTATGCACTTGATCTCGCAACTACATTTTATTTCAGATGTTATATTTATATACCATATATATATATATATAT